ATGCAACGAGTCCGTCTCATACAATTTTTATCATCATATCTCGGAATATTTTCAAATTCTATTTTTTTTTTAATTTATTGACTTCCACAGTCTAGTCTGATTTCAGAAGCAAAGCAATAGTTATCAAATAGGCTCGAATACACTGGTTATCATAAATTAAGGAAAATCACAAAAATAGCGATAACTCCCTCAAAAATAAGCCAAACCATGTAAAATTTGAATATGTTGCCAAGTAAGAGTAGCTGAGTAAAACTGCAGAATGCAAATTAGTGGCGCTGCACTCGGAATACGTCATCTGAGAGGAGACTAAAAGTCCATGTTTGAAAGCCAGCTGTTTTATTTAGCCAGGTATTTTACTGTGATAGTGACATCAGAAATGTGAGATAGCCAATTCGTAACAATGACATCCAGGCATCATTTGTCTGCAGAACTACGATGGAAAGCCATTGGGAGACTAGAGGCAGGATAAAGTCAAAAAGAAGTGGCCAGATGGCTAAATATGAGTCCTTCTGTGGTTCATAGGCCTTGGAGGCGATTTCAAACCACAGATTCGGCATGTAGGAGGTTAAGCCAACGACGGCCAACTTCTACGACGAGCGCCGATGACCGATATTTGACATTAAGCGCACACAGGAAAGAACCGCTACTCCGACTCTTCTTCGATCCTCCCTTGCTGCAGTCACCGGAAGGTTGGTGTCAACGTCAACTGTGCGTAGAAGGCTTCACGAAGGTGGTCTGCATGCGAGACGACCAGCCATTTGCGTGCCGCTCACGTCACGCCATAGGAGGGACCGTTTGCAGTAGGCACGACAACATGTCCACTGGACGCTTGATCTGTGGAGGGTTGTTCTCTTTACGGATGAAAATTAAAATATAGGCATTTATTAAATTAAATTATAATTCATCAGGTTTAGTCTAGAAAGCGATAGTAGGCGTTATTTGATATGGAAAAGAACCTAGGAACCCGTTATCATCCGTGAAAGAGATGCATACGGAAAAGGCAGTGTCTGTGTTTGCGGTGGCATCTCTTTGGGTGGACGCACAGACCTCCATGTCTTTCCATGGAGAACCGTGAATGCTCGAATTTATAGAGATGACATCCTTGATGTTTATGTGTGCCCATATGCCAGGGCAATAGGTGATGCTTTCCTGCTACAGGACGATAACGCAAGACCACACAGGGCTCGCATCGTAGATGATTATCTTCAACAGGAAACAATTATGCGCATGGAGTGGCCAGCTCGATCCCCGGACTTGAATCCTATCGAGCACGTTTGGGATGCTTTAGAGAGACATCTAGCTGCTCTCAATCTGCCCCTCAGACCCTTGCCATTGCGCTTGCAACTGCTTTGCAAGAGCAATGGCTCTCGCTTTCCTATGGAACTGATAGACCGCATAATTGAAAGCATCACACATCTCTGTATGTGCTGCATTTCTTCTAGAGGTGATCCATATTCCATATTGAAAGTACTTTTCCTATAGCAAACTGACGTCTTCGATTTGTTCATTTTATACATGTGCTAATTTCTATACTACCATAATTGTCTGGTAATTTTTTTAGTAATCGTGATTTTTCCTTAATTTATGATAACCAGTGTATTATCAGCATTGCTATACAAAGAATTTTTTTAAAATTTTTATTGTTGAGAGATTCTGTAGAGTTCTCCAACAGATTTTTTTTTTTTAATTATTATTACTTAAATTAGTATTCGTTGCAAAGAACAAAACAAAAAAAAGGGGGGAAAATACTATTACGAATTTTTCACATATGTAAATAATTTTAGTGAAATTGTAATATTTTTTGTATAATGTAACATTAAATGCTTAGAAGAGACGAAGCTCTAACGTAAAAATAAGATTACAAGGTCAAGTCTATTTAACACTTAGGTACACATGGCCATCTCGCTATATTGGCGAGACAGCCATAGACAAACCGTCGCCACGCTGCCGATGGTTTGTCTCTAAATTTGGCGAGAAATCGCCAAAAGTAGCAAGACTTGGGAACTATTTGGCGACATTTTGGTCCGGTCCCTGTATAGCTGTGGTACTGTTATTGCATAACTGTAATCGATGCCTATGTGTAACTGTAACCATATCGGGCCTTCATATGCCTTCCTGTAATTTAGAGAAGTGGTAAGTACTGGAGATTTTTCGGCGGCCTGGGGAAAAAACTACGTAAGACCGGGGAAGAGGATCAGTTTACTGAGTATCTCAGTTTTACTGAGATATCTCCGTTAAGCTTTGCTCTTTACATGCGCTTTGCGTTGCGTTGTGTTTAGCATTCTTAGTAGTTTGAAGTGTAACTACTGAATGTACTCTGTGATACTGAGAAGAATTGTACAAATATTTTTATCAAAAGTTCCAAAACTGTAAAGTGTTGCTTTTGGTAAAATAATTTTTATAAAGCTTATAAAGTAATTCTCCCACCTTCTTAGCGTGCTTTCATGGTGTAATGGACAGTACGCTCGGAGCATATTCGAGAGGTTCGAGTTCCGGCGAGGGCATTGCTCATTTTTTATGTCTTCTGCTTAAAATAACCTAATGTTTCTACAAGCTACCATAGTTTCTGTGTGCATTTAATCTATTAGTTATCTATTATCAACTGTGTGCATTCAATCCTACGCACGCACCAATACTAAACTTACACATATGTACGAATGTTCCTGAAGTGTTTAATTACATATTTTATGTTGATTATCAGAACTGAGTGACAAATAAAGGTTATTAAAAGAGCTAGATTTCTGAATGTCCCCCCCACCCCGTAAAATAAAGAGGATGGTTTAAACCGACAGTTTTGGTTTTATTTATATCAGCTTATTTCCCAACTCTTTACACTTTAAATAAAAATATGCAGTAGATTTCTGATTGAAGATGTAATACAGTGGATGATTTGATTAACTCAAAATCCGTCCGAAATTCAATTAAAAAACACTTCACTTCTATAACAATTTTAAAAAATTGAAAACAGAAATAACCCATATTATAATTAAATAAAATTATTAACTATAATTTTACCTGAATTTTGAAACACTTAAATTTGCTGAATAAGTTCATTTATTAAAAGTAAACTAAATCAGCGTTCAAAACAAGAACATACTTCGGAAAAAAAATTTTTAGGCCAAAACGGACGTTAGCCCAAATGGACTGTTAGTCTCGAAACGGTTTTGCATTGGGCTAACGGGACTGTTAGTCTCGAAACGGGATTACTATAAAGGGCGTATCACTTTTCAAATTGCTGCCACCAAATATTATTTTTTAAGAAATTAAATACTGAAGAATCTGCATGAACGTATGAATGTTTTTCGCAGTGTGAAAAAACGACGGTACCTAGAGACTCGAATTTTGAATTTCGAGTTGGTTTTATTATCTGTTTCATATTTTGTAAAACGTTAACGAATTTGTTATTAACAAACTCAAAGATCTGAAAGCGAGCAGTGCCAATACTAAACAAAATAAAAAATTTTATCTCCAGCATGCGAGACTGTCTATCGAAAATTCTAAATATATGCTGTTTTTAAATATCAGGTGATTTTATTATTGAATTGAATTTTATTTGGCGTAAGTGCAAAGACTGTAATATTTAATAAATAAAGTCAACACACAAAGCCTTAATATTTAGAAGACATTTTTTTAATTTTTTTCTAGAAAAACCACACATTGTTTTGATAAACTGAGAAAAAATATAAAAATATATGCCAACACTTAACACTGCATTGGGTATTCTAAATTCTGTTAAATTAAACATTTTATTTTTTGTTTTGCTGTTGAATTGTATTAGCTGTTGCGTAAGCATGAAGAAAATGATGCTTAACAATGAAACTAAACAAGGCAAAACAAATGGATTATCAGGAGTGAATGAAGTAGTTTACAATGCAGACTGCGAGCTGAGCGAGAGCATTAAAAACCTTTGATGAACCTTTTGGGGAGACCTTTAAAATCCGAAACTTTTGAGATTTTTTTTTTATGTATATTATTCTCGTATTTCGATAGAAATTAATGGGAAGCAAAAGATTAATAGCTGTGGACCTAGTGTGAGGTTATATGCATACAGAGCACGAGATAAGTATAACCTAATTAATTTATAAATTTACCTTAAGATGGAATGAAAAGATAATAAAAGATGAAATGAACATTATAGCTGGTAATAAATGAAACTGGCATAAGGAAGCGATAACCCCACGACTAAGATAAGTCGACAAATAGTTCAGGTAATAATCAACAATTCACAGTCTTTACATTTATCGCTGGATCTGGGAACAAGATCAAGATTCACAGATGCTGGTGGATTCCTATAACACCACTGAGAAAAATTATCCTTCCAACATCATAGAAGGCAAGTCAACGCCGTTTTGGCATAATAGCTCGTCAGCTTTGCTTACGGAGAACACGTCTGTTCTCTTCCATGTCTGGAAATCGTCTCTACTCCATTGCACGCTGCGCTGCTGGCTGCAACTCAGATGACTTCAGACCTCGCTGGCTATTTGCTGACTATACCCACACTAATTTATTTTTAAGATTTAGCAATTAATTTTTAACAGAGGAGCTAACAATGTTTATATATTCCAAATTATGTGCAATAAATCACGTACTGTTGCGGATAAAAACAATTTCTAAACACTGTGACATCATCTGCGATCACTGCTGTTGTACCAAACATTTTGTATTTCTCGTACAAATTTTGCTTTATTCTGATGTTTTGAAATAGTAAATTTTCCATCATTTCGCAATAAATAAAATTAAGTTAAAAAAAATCCGGTTGATTCATCATCAGTTAATCGGGAGTTAACTGCATATACTTATAGAGTGGCAGATGGATACATACAACCATCTAATTCAATATTTCGTTTCAGCAATTTCCAAAAATTATTTATGTTCTTTGTTACCTTAGATATAGATGTTACTTCCCAGCTTTCTGTTTTCAATTTTCTCTTAAGCTATAAAATACAGGTCTTTGCTCATTATCTTTATGATTATATCTTTATGATTATATCTTATCGTAGGTAAACCTGCATGTGAATTTCCAGGAGAACCGGCGCATGGGCATGTGGTTCCAACAAAGTTTCATTACGATATTGGAGAAATGGTTACAGTGCAATGTTTGGAAGGATTTCGCATTCTTGGAGCGCCACGATTACGTTGCACCTCCACAGGGCATTGGTCGAGCCCCTTGGCTCACTGTCGACCCATCCTTCATCATTCATGACCAACCAGCAAGTGACATGTCGTCGCACAATAATCTTAAAATATCAGTTGTGGTTATCAACTCACTTATTAGCTCCTTCGAGAAACGGCATTGCAAAACTCTTTACTGAATGCTCATACGCACCTCTATTTCGAAGTTTATTTATATGTTTAAAAAAATTCTGTCTTAATCTATTCTCATATAATTAAGTCAGTTGACATAACATATATTATTTCCCTCTGCATCAGTAGAGAGTTGTAAGAGGTACTCGTTGAAAGGATTAATATGTGAAGAATGGGGACATTAGAAGCCGATAAAAAGTTTCGACGATTTGTAAGAGAACTAAGCGAACGCAGTATTTAACACAAAATAACTCCCAAAGTAAACAGTCACAAAATCTTCCATTAAGTCCGAGGCTGCTTTCTTGTTTGAGGTCAATGTTTACTTTCGAGTTGACGGTGAATTTGCATTTTTCATTGACATTTTCCTCAGAGTTAAGCTTCAGCCTTTCAGCCTTTTAATAATTTCTAATTGAAAAGGTAAAAAATATTGCTGTCAAATTTAATTAGAGAGACAAATTAAGAGCTCATTTTCATAAAAATATGAGAAAAAATTGTATTTATGCCATGTTATCATTCTCATTTGACGAATGGGATTTTGCATACTTTTGGCTGTTAGACACTTCGAAAGAAAAGTTCTATTATATTTTAAAGCAAATCCATCAATTTGAAAACGATTAGTTTTTTATTTTAAATTCAGTGTCTCAAAGTCGAGACTCACCTTTTACACTAAATACAAGTTTTTATTTTTCAAAAGGACCTTAAATTGTATAGCCAATAAATAATTAATAAATACTGGATAAGTTAAATGTTACATAAATTAAACTTCATATTCTAGGCACCTGTTATATAAAAATTTTTCAACTATTAAAATTGAACTGCCTATAAATCTCTACAGCACAATCATCGTCAAACACCCTTTAACTGATTTTTCTCTCGCAACATTTGGCTTATTTTACTTAAAAAAAAAAAAAAAAAAAAATCAAACCATGGGAGCCAGTGGTAACTGACAGAACAGTGAGCATATGAATGTGTTAAAATTTTCTGTGAATAACATTTAGATCTCATAGTAGCACTAAACTAAGAAAATATAGACAAAGGAAATGGCTACAATATTACCAAAGAAAAATACCTTTTAAACAATTTCATTTATTACTACAGTAGTGTCCCCAAAATCGTGAAAATAACAAGGCTTCTTGTAGCACCAGAAAGAAAAGCAATGGTCAAGTATGACACGTCAGATTTTGTTTAACCAGTTCTCAAAGAGATTCACTCTCAAAATCACAGAAATTAAGTCTAAACTGTACTTGAACAACACATCGCGATATTCTATAATTAATCACTGTAAAATACTGCAGTGGTCATTAGATTCATCTGCAAATTTTGTTGCTATGGGCATCAATAGCAGCAAATCATGGTAACTCTTCAAATCCAGACTTACCTTGGAACTAGAGCTATTTGAGAATGATTTCATATTTACAAACGAAAAATTTCACATAACCTATAACTTCTTTAATGTTCCAACAGTTTTTTTTCTTTTATTTTAATATAACAACCGGTTCAACATTAAGATTCATCCATATTTAGTGGTTGATGTTTAAAAATTATATTTAATTATCCACTCTAATCCGATTCTAGTGTTTTGAAAAGCCAAACTCAAAAACAAATACAACAATTTCATCTCAGTATATTCTAAAGATTGTACTCAAGCTTCAAGATAATCATAGATGACATTGTTGTCTTACAACTCCCCACATTCAGGGTCTGCCATCAGACTAAATTCACAAGGCCTAGGCTAAGAGCCCCAAGCTATTTGGTATCCCAGAATCATGCCATACTTCCTCAAAATCATGTTTTTGCCTCCTATTTTGATGTCAAAGGGTCCCTTGAAAGAGCCCTGAGTCTGGAATCAAAGACTGGTTTAATTATTTAACTTCCTTGGATTAATTTAAGTAAGCCACTACTCACTGCCTTATTTAAGGTTTGTTTTGAGTCTAAGAACCAATCCTGGATCATTCTGGAGCCAGTTCTGGGCTACAGTGAACGATCGTTATCTAAAAATCTTCAACTCCCGAACTGTAACTGCTATTAGAAAGTCAACAAAATAATGGAAAATTTAGTTTATTAAAACATCGTATTGTGAGAAAAAAATTAATACATCTATTATTATAAAACTGCACTAGAACAATTAAAACGTAGTTTTGGGAAATTATAATTTAATTTTAGATAAATAATGCAAAATTAATCTTCTAATTTGCATTAAATCAAACACCTTTTACATGTTTATGCATTGAATAGACGAGATAAAAAGAATTTGGCTAAGGTGAAGAAAAGCTTTCTATTTGATTAAAAATAGATGCCACCTCAAATGCAGTCAAACCAGAAATAACCAAATCCTGTTTGATATTCGTCATATTGGATATATATAAAAGTACAAAAATAGATGTCCATATTTGAATTCATAACAGTAAGAGGGTAAATGGATGATGTGCTTATTAATGATGCCAAGTAACAATGTCACAAATGTTACAAATCCCGAGCACAAGATGTAATATAGTCAAAGGGAAAAAAGGTCGGTTAAAAATAAATTTTCTTTAAAGTTATATAAACCTAAATGGGCTGAAATAAAAACAGTAAGGTATGTAAAAACAAGAATCAACTGTATAAATTTATGTACTGTATTCCTTTGTGTTTCTAATGACTATTATGTATCACATAACAATAATCTCAAAAGTAAAATTTTTGTTATCATTTTGATTGTCTTACTTTAAACCATTATTATGTTGCCATTTATATTTTTGGATATGTCATAAACTATAATCATGCACTGATGTATTTGCTGTTCATAAACAGTCAGTCACATATGGTGTTAAATATTAACAATATGTTGTATGTGTGATTTAAATATAAATTATTCTTCAGAAAATAATTTTGTTACACTTACTTCACTGGATAATCACTAAAATATTGTTTGTTACATATGGGTAATGAGCTAGAGGATTAATTACTTGTCGTAACAGAATCGCATAAGAAATCATGGAAAAATTTTATAAAGTGCATGTAATAAATACCAATAGTAGATCTTGACCTGAAAGAACACCAATGCACAATTTAAAATTATGCAAAAATAGCAACCTTAGTCTGGGTAGATTTTGAAAGGAACTCTATCGATTTTGAGGCTGTTAGCTACTATTTAGCTAATCTTAACAAGCTCTCGATATGTTGAGTATGAAATCAGTTTTGGGATTTACAAAATTGCAAAAATAGTTCAAAACAAAATGTTTACATCCTGCTTTAAATAGATAGCTTTTGTGTTCTCCTTTCAGTAAACATTATAAAAGGTATCCTATAAATGTTGCGACAAACTTCTGGGGAAGGTAGGGCAGATCATAAGGATTAAGAATTGCAGAGAAACCCATGCCCAGAAATGTCAAGGGTAAGTGGTAGCAGAGGTAGAAGATGGGAAAAGAAACAAGATGGATTAATTTGAAACATTTATTGGTCATGAATACAAATGGTGTATGACAGCTTGAATGTTATAACAGATGCTCGAAGTTTGCACCATCAGACACCAAACATGCCTGATACTGATAGACTATTGACTGCCGGACATGTTAAAACACACCCTGAGCTTCTTTGATTGTAGCAGCTGTGCAGGCGAGTCTTGCCAAGAGATCCATTTCAAAGACAACAGGATCATGATACATGACACTTTTGATGGCTTCCCACAAAAAGAAATCAAGGCTGGATAAATCTGGTGAGCATGGGGGGCCAGGGAACTGGTCCTCAACACCTAATACATCGATGTGGGAAGCAAAGGTGCAAACCAACTGTGGTATGGTTGATGTCTGTCGGAGAAGCATTCTTGATAAACGTGTGCAGCGGTTCGTCCATTACCCTCAGCTATCTCATACATTGCATTTTCTGCAAGCTCCCGGTTTATATAGCGTTCCATGTTCTTCATATGGTACCTACTGCTTGAATGAGGCAATCCTCAGTTTCCACTAGCACTCTCCTATACAGAACCCCTAGGCAGCGTACAATGACGTTTCTGGGCATGAGTTTCCTATGGAACTCTTAATCCTTATTATGTGCCCTGCCTTCCCCAGAAGTTTGTCATAACATTTACGAGACACCTTGTATATTACATGGTTAATGATATTTTACAAAGTTGTTTTGTCATAACAGTTAGGAATTTTAGTTTCACAGCACATGCTACTGTTCACTGTTTATTATCTTTTGGCCATTGTTTTTCCTATAACTAAAGAAACTCTTGTAGATTTTGATAATATTTATTAGGTTCTCCAGTTTGATTTTTAACAGGTGCTACCAAATGTTTTGTGCAAACATCTCTAAATATTTATCCCAGTCAATGACATTTTTGTTACAAATGCTTAACTGTTTTTCACATCTTCTGAATGATGCTATTTTTCTAACCAACAATAAATAAAAATATAAAGCAATCAAAAAGAAATTTTTGATCCATAAAACTAATCTTTGTAATGGATGCTCTCCACAACATCATGTAAACTCATTCTAAAGTTTCATTTGATGACTGTTCTCATAAAACTTATGATAGAACTTTCATTTCTTAGAAGAGCAAAGCAGCATCTTTTCTAGCCAACAGTAAACTCAAAATAATTAGTATGCTTACAGATGAAATATAAAATTAAAAAAGCAAATACAATTTCACTATAACAAAGAACAAACATGAGAAGCTAATACAGAGACATGTGGAAAAGGTTGCCACATTAGAAGCCATGAAGATTAACATTGCAACACATTTATCATATTTCTTTAGAGATCTATATGTACCAATTATATGCTTCATTTTTAATTTTAATTACACAACATAAATGTTTTATTAATGTATATTCAGCTCTTACATGTTCTGTGATCTTTAGGGTCTTGAAAGTGATTTAGAAGTTGATTTTGTTATGAAAATCCTCAAAACACTTTGACACATTCAGTACCACTAATGACTGCAGATCAGCTAGCAAGTCAGCTATGCATATGAATGTGTTAATGATTACTAATGGCATGCTAATGTGCTAATAATAAAAAAAAAAAAAAAAAAAAAAAAAAAAAAAAAAAAAAAAAAAAACCTTAAAAGGTTTGCTGAACAACTAAAATGTTCTATTACTTAAAAAAAATATGAAAATGTAAAACATTTGCTAATATTTAAAAATTTATGTATATATATTTTATACTTACCAGCAAAGTGAATGGATATTATGTTTAACATACACTAAAATTATAAAAAGAAAAATTTCAAATATTATGCAGTCGAAAAAATACGTAATTTCAGAGACTAATGTGGAAATTAAATTAGATTTTCCTGAACAGCTATCGAATGAATGCTGTACTCAGCAGTTTGTTAACCAAAAAAAAAAAAAAAAATATTTATTGCAAATTTATTAAAATATTTACATAATTAAGCATAAAACATAAAAATGTCAACTTTTTGATTCATTATGGATTTCTGTTGGATTTAAGATATCTTCACTATTAGATAACATTCTTTGCTTTGCTCTGTTTGCATCAGAAGGAGCACAGAAACCTTTCCTAGTTGGAACATTACTACTGAGAGCTTCAGTCCAGTCTTTAGTTTCATGATACTTCAAAAGGATGTCAAACACTAAATGAAGATTAAATATTTCTTGATACCAGAAAGGGTAACACACAAATTTAAAAAAAAATGAAAAGAAAATTTTAAGAATGGCAATGAAATGAAAATAAAATAACATTATTAAATATAATTTCTTTGAATAAAAACTAAACTAAATAAACTTCTGTAGGTTTTCATGTGTAAATGCATGCATTAAGTTTTTTAATGATTATATAATTAATAACATAATATGATTCAATAAATAATATGATTATATTAAATATAATAATATAATGGTGTAATACCATTAACTATAGTTTCTATGACTAAAAATTAAATCTAATGTTACCTCTGATTTGCCTATTAAGTTCATATGCAGATATAAGCTTCCAACCCCAATCTGAATATTTGTACATATGTATATCCTTCGCTAACTGTAATATTGGGTTGGCAACTAAGTAATTGCGATTTCACTCATAGATGGCTTCAGTTGAATTTTTAGGGTTGCAGACGGTAGTACAAATGTAAAACACATTTTGTTATTTGATAGTTGGCAATTCAGCTGTCAAACAGTAAAAAACGTTTTTTGATCGGTTGCGTAGTTTTCGTTTTGCGTTCGTTTAAAAATGGAAAATCAAAAGGAACATTTTCGTCATATTTTGCTTTTTATTTCCGCAAAGAGAAAAAACGCATCGCAAGCTCATAAAAAGTTATGTGCTGTTTATGGTGACGAGCCTTAAAAGAACAGGCAGTGTCAAAATTAGTTTGCCAAATTTCGATTCTGGTGATTTTTCACTCAAAGTTGAAAAACGCTCTGGTCCTCCAGTTGAAGTTGATGACGACCTAATCAAAGCAATAATCGATTCGGATCGTCCACAGTACAACACGTGAGATTGCAGAGAAGCTTCATGTATCACATACATGCATTGAAAATCACTTAAAACAACTTGGCTATGTTCAAAAACTCGATACATGGGTTCCTCACAAAATGAACTGAAAAAGAAACGCATTTAACGCAACGCATTAACAGCTGCCATTTGCGTATGAAAATGATCCCTAAAGAAAGAACTAAAGAAACGTAATGAAAATGATCCATTTTTAAAACGACTGATAACTGTCGATGAAAAATGGGTTGTTTACAACAATATCAAGCGGAAAAGATCGTGGAGCAGGCTAGGTGAACCAACTCAAACAACATCAAAAGCTGATATTCATCAAAAGAAGGTTTTATTATCTGTTTGGTTGGGATTACAAAGGAATTGTCTACTTTGATCTCTTACCACCCAACCGAATGATCATTCTGATTCTACATTGAACAACTAACGAAATTAAACAATGCAGTTGAAGAAAAGTGGCTCGAATTGACAAATCGGAAAGGTATTGTATTCTATCATGACAATACAAGGTCGCACACATCTTTGGTCATTAGCGCAAAAAATTATTGGAGCTTGGTTGGGATGTTTTGCCACATCCACCATATAGTCCTTACCTTGCACCATCTGATTACTTTTTGTTTTGATCTTTACAAAATTCCTTGAATGGTAAAAATTTCAATAATGATGATGATGTTCAAATCGTACCTGATTCAGTTTTTGCTAATAAAAACAGAAGTTTTATGAACGTAGGATTATGATGCTGCCTGAAAGATGGCAAAAGGTCATTGATCAAAATGGGCAATACATTACAGAATAAAGTTATTTAGTTCCATGAAAAAATTGTCTTTGACTTTCTAAAAAAAATCCGCAATTACTTAGTTGCCAACCCAATATTTCCAGCTAGTATTACATTTAAAAATTTTTAATCATAAGCAATTAGCTCTTTAAGGTAATTGCAGATTTTTTAATTCATATTTTCATTTAATATGAATTTCCTTTATCTGTGAATTGATTCGCATTACAAAAATTATATGTAAAATTTATTTACAAATGCCACCTCTAACCATGCTCTTAACTGGAAAAAAAAAAGCATAATAAATAACATATCTACATTCAATAAAAACATTCTTGATTTCAAATGGAAAAAAAAAGGGGGGGGAAGAAATATGTGTGGATTTAATTTACAAAAATTGTATTTGGCTGTTTTATAATCAACATTCCAAGACACATTTTAATCAATATTATTGTTTCATTGCATTCTATTGTAAAGAATAAAATGTTACAATTTTGTTTTACCTATCAGAGCTTTTTTGAGGGAAGGGGTTTCATTGCTTTCCTTTAACTTGTGAAAATGCAAATGTATTTTAATCTGTAAGTTACATCATACCTGCATATTTAATTTTCAAATTTTGTTTTGTGTGCTTCCATTTAAATAATCCAGGA